GCCATGCTGGCTGGGGAATTCTGGAAGTTGAAGTCCACTCATCTTAAAGTGGCCAAGTTTGGACAACACTGCCATAAGGGAAGGCCTATGACCCACCCAACCCAAGTAGAGGAACCAAGGTGGGTTCCATGTTCTCTCTCATCTTCTGCTTTCAAGCGCAAATAATCATTTGTAGGGAAAAGGGACTCTCAATGTTATTTCTGCCCAATCAAATTGAATTAATGTAGAAATAACATTGAGAGTCCAGGATGGCAGAAAGGGCTACATGTCACCCTTGTAAAACAGGCCATCAGAAAGTATCTCGGAAGTCCCATAATTTAACAACTCTGACCAGAAAATTATGTACCTCTTGTGTGATTGGTGGCCGGAACTGTTTGTGAAGTTCAATAATGATCCTCAAGCAAATAAGTACATTTTCTTCATTTTCAGTCTAAACATTGGGAGGAGGGGGAGGAATAAGGGAAGAGATTTATTAAATAATGGCAAAAACCAGAGCCTCATATTACAAAAGGTTTGGGAAAAAATGCGGATCATATTATCAAATACAATTACCTCTAGAAATCTAAACATCACAGATAAGATATTTTTCGTGTGTGGGCGCAAATGTTCATTGGTTGGTATTCTATGGATTATTTCCAAAACTAATTTTCTCAGTTGCTGCAGAAGGGGAGGAAAAAAAGGGGGGAATAGAACTTGGTTTTGAATGATATATGTTAAAGACACAAATTCAACAGAAAAAGCACACGTTATAACACTAAATGAAGCTGTGCATGATCTGCAAATCTGTTAACTTCATTAACAGCTTAAGCAAGGTTTTACATTAAAAAAAAAGGTAACATTAAAATACACAATAATCAAACCCAATTAGGTATCAGTTCCTCTCGGCTAACCTCAACAAACTAAGCAGAGTCACACCCCGTTACTGTTCTGATGGGAGACACCAGGAATTTTTAGGGTGGCAAGTAAAACTGGGAAGTTCAAAGAAAGGTCTCAGAAGATGCCCTAAACCTTTTACATTGCAGCCAAGAAAATTACACGGAGCCGAATTCTATCCAAAGCGGGCTTTATCTTTTAACAGTAATTCCACCTTCCTTCCAAGATTTGAAATGACGGTATACATGTCTTTATAATAAGGATGGGCAACCTGTTTAAGATTATGCAACATCCACCAGAAGTCACAATTTGCAAGAGAAGGGGACACCTTCCCTTCTGAAATTCATTCCCTTCCTGGCCAACAAGCTGCTTTGAGGAAGAAGAAAATCCGTTTGACCCGCATGGCTTTTAGCCAGCTGCTAAAAAGGCCCACGCAAGAAGCTGAAGGCCACCTCAGCCAAACAAAGAATTATTTTGGAGGATACCTGTGCGGGTTTTTCCTGCAGGAACTGGACTTCCCCATCCTGGAGAAACGTAAGGAAGCGAGGGATGATGTGTTCCAGGAACGTGGAATACTGAGGAGATGAGGTTACATTCTAGTAAGAGAAAATAAGATTTTAAGTACCTGAGGTTTTCAACCATGCACAGGGTGTAGAACAGTGTTTCATAACCATGGCAGCTTGAAGATGTGTGGACTTCAACTCCCAGAATTCCCCAGCCAGAATTCTGGGAGTTGA